ACCAGAAGCACCAATCAATTGCAGAAAAGAAAAGGGGGAAAAAAGCCGATCAGACAATTTGTAGGAATAATTACAAATAAATAAATCCGCAAAACTGCATACATTCTGCTTGGTAATCCGACCTGCCATTCAGTCCAGAGATCTCGACTGACATTTCAAGACTCATTCATTTAAAAGTAGTATGCAATGCAAAAGCAGTAACCACTTTAGCCCAAGAGATGAAGAATAAAAATGAAAATGAAAGTCATCTTGGGGGAAGGCCCAACTGGGGTAGCTAAATGGAGAAACAAAAAAAGGGTAGATTTCACCACTCTCAAAATTATTTTTATCAGACCATCAAAATGAGCCTGTAATTTGCCATTTTATGGTGAAGAATATCAGAACAGCCAGACTTGATTTGGCCAACAGTCCAGCTAGCCCAGTATCCTCAGCAGTGGCCAACATAAATGGTTCAGAGGGAATGACCAGAACAACTGATCATCATGTAGTCCATCCCCTGTCGCTGTTGCCCATACCCAGCTTCTGGAAAACAGAGGCTAAGAACACTTCAGAGCATGGTTGTGAATCCCTACCCATTCTGGCTAATAGCCAGTGATAGATATATCATCCATAAACATACCTAGTGCTTTTTTAAACCCCATTATAGTCTAGGCCTTCACAACATCCTCTGGCAAGGAGTCCCACAGGTTGACTGTGCATTGTGTGAAGAAATACTTCCTTTTGTTTGTTTTAAACTTACTACCTATTCATTTCAATTGGCGACCCCTAGTTCTTGTGTTATGAGGAATAACACATCCCCATTCACTTTTTCAATGCTAGTGATAATTTTACAGTCACTTTATGGACATTTAACCCTCAGAACCCTTCCATTGCCTTCACTTTCCAGATGGGGAAACAGAGGCACGGGGGCTATTAGGGATTGGGAGTCTCAAAGAGATAGGTAAGAATATCTACCCTTGCTCTGCAGTGCCTCTCTTCGGCTATTACCCAGAGTGCTGAAGGGGAACTGCTTGCAGACAGACCTCCATGCAGCAATTATAGTCATTTTATTTATAAGATGATGCAGTTTGACATACAATCTCATACTAAAATATACCCTCTTAACATACAAAAAAATGCACCTACAAACTAACGGCTTTGTTACTGGAAAAGGGACTGTAGGAAATGAAATAAATACAGGGCCACTAGTGGTCAACTGATAAGAAACCCCAGAGGCATGTGCTTGGAGTTGGGGGCGAGGAAGACCAACATGGGTTTCAGAGTAGGTGAGCGCACCCCAGGATAGGTGCAATGACACAATCTATGGTCTAGTGGTAGGAAAGGAGTGGCTGTGAAAGATTTTCAAGTGTAGTGGATAGTATATGGGAGGTGAGATGCTCTGGCATGCCCTGGACTGATTTGTATTGTAAGAACTGAACCTCAAAGTGGAGGGTACAGATTATACATACACACTGGACTGTTGCTAGAGCACAGAAGAAACTCTTCCAGGGATCTGTGCTTTAGTCAATCTGCTGCTGTTCAAAAACCTAAAAAGTCGCAGTAAGCGCCATTTAATTTCAGCACGCATAATCAAGGAATGATTTTTTCCTCTTTGAATGTGAAATTGCTAGCATACATTCAGAAGATTATCAGCTAAATAGCAACATACAGTTACTGCTTACATCTCAAATGCCCCAGAGAATTGTTTTTGTCTCTGGAATTGACATACAGGGTCAGATCAAAGGTTCATTTAGCCCAGTGTTAGAGGGAGGGAGCACAACAGGTAATCCTCACATGATCCCTCTCCTGTCATCCATTTCCAGACAAACAGAGGCTAGGGACACCATTCCTACTCATCCTAGCTAATAGCCATTGGTGGACCTACCCTCCATGAATTTAACTAATTCTTTTTTGTACTCTGTTAAAGTCCTGGTCCTCACAACGTCTTCTGGCAAGGAGTTCCACAGGTTGATTATGTGCTGCATGAAGAAATACTTCCTTTTGTTTGTTTTAAACTGCTAACTATTGATTTCATTTGGTGACCCCCTATTGTGTTATGGAAACAAGTAAATAACTTTTTCTCATTTACTTTCTAAACATGGGATATGATTTTATAGATCACTATCACATCCCCTATTAGTTGTCTCTTTTCTTACTGGTTTTTCCTCTACAGCAGCTGTTCCATACACCTAATAATTTTTATTGCCCATTTCTGAACTTTTCCCAGTGCCAAGATATCTTTTTTGCGATAAGGTGACCACATCTGCAGGCAGTATTCAAGATATGGGCATACTATGGATTTATACAGAGGCAATAAGAAATTCTCTGTCTTATATTCTAACTCTTTTTAAATAATTCCTAACATAGTTAGCTTTTTTAACTACTGCTGCAAATTTAGCAGATGTTTTCAGAGAACTATCCATAATGACTCCAAGATCTCTCTTGGGTGGTAACAGCCAGTTTAGACCCCATTGGTTTCTCTGTATAGTTGGGATTATGTTTTCCAATATGCATTATTTTGCATTTATCAACATTAAAATTCATCTGCCGCTTTGTTGCCCAATCTCCTAGTTTTGTGAGATCCTTTTGAAGCTCTTCACAGTCTGCTTTGGACTTAACTATTCTGAGCAGTTTCTATTATCTGCAAATTTTAGCACCTCGCTGGTTACTCTTTTCTGTAGATCCACATGGATGCTGCTATGCTCTGGGGCTTTCAGTACGCTGTAGCCAAGTTCACACAGGCTGCTACTGTGTGGCAGGCTAGTGTACCATAGATTTGCACCTGGGCTTGCTCAAGCACACTAATTCACCATGTAGACAAGTCCTATGATTATTAAGATGTACATCATTTTTTCCTGATAAGAGTCATTTTCATTTGACACTGCCACATGTCTTATGTATACAGCTTCTTCACTCCCTATTATGCTGCTATTAAACAAACAAAAACCCAAATCCAATGGTTGTGTAGCCAACAGAAAAACAGATCACTAGCAACCTTCCTGCGTGCTCACAGCCGGCAAGCTGGCAAACTTGTGACATCTGGTCAGATTTCATGAGTTAAATAAATACCACAACCAGTATCAACCTTTCCCAGATTTGAAACACCAAGCATCTAGTTACACTGGCAGGATGCTACCATGTTTTGTGGATGCCAACCTTACCAAACACCACAGAGATCTCTCCCTCACAGCTTCTTCCATCTCTATAAACAATGAGAGGCATGCTTAGGCAGGAAGGCATTTAAAAAGCAGAAGGGAAGAGAACATACCTGGCGATGCTGTGAGGGCCATCACCCCATAGTAGGAAAAAGCACCAGCTTCAAACTTCATTCCCTCTTTCCCAGCCTCCACTTCCACTTTCCCCTGTTGAGGAAAATGAGAGAACCATAATTAAAAGGGGCCTCAAACATCCCAGAGACCTTATAAGAGATGTGCACTATGAAAGCTGAAGTCTTGCCTCAATAAAGGGGAACAGACAAAATCATTCCCACTGTCACACAACTTTTTGGCCTCATCTTTGATCCAGCTAATTCAACTCAGCAAGGCGGGTAGGCTCCCCACCTCAAAGAAATACAGTAGCTTCTCTGTGGTACTAACTTTTGTCCACTTCTAAAGAACATCTGTGAACCACTAAGCTATTTACTTTGAACAGAAGGGAAGGAGTGGTCCCTAAGTCTGAGAAAGCCCATACTAGACATGCTTTGTCTGGCAAGACAGATGTACTCATTTCAGGTAACTGGCCCAAATTCACCCAAGGCCCTTCCAAATACAACACAGAAAATCTCAACTGGAAACTGGAGTAAACTCAACATATTTTAAAAACAACAATGATCCTGTAGCACCTGAGAGACTAACAAAAATATATAAATAGCATTATGAGCTTTTGTGGGCACAACCCATTTCTTATTTGTCATCTGAAGAAGTGGGTTGTGCCCACGAAAGATCATGATACTATTTATATGTTTTTGTTCAACTCAAGTGTTACAGGACCATTGTTGTTTTTTAAGTTTTTTTTTTAAGTTACTAACACAGCTATCCCACAGACTTTTTAAACATATTTTGGGAGCTGACGTTCAGGTTGTAGGCTTTCCACAACAGGATTCTCACAAAAAATAAATCCATAATTCCTAGAAGAGTCCTGAGTCCTCTCTCTCAAGG